CAAGCTTGAAGCGTAAGGACTGAACCTTGGACCATTGTTCTCAGGCCGCACCACTTTCTGAAGCAAGACGCAGTAATCAACAAGCACATGGCTGTGTGCTGTGCATCGAAATAACATAATCCTGGGCCCTCAAACTTCTTCTCCCAACATTGACTTCTGACACGTTGATACGGAGCTGGTTCTTGGCCGTGTTCGTGGGGTGCAAGCAGGGTGAAGTGGTAGAACGACGGGAGGAGCTGAGCCGCTGTGATTTTCGCTTAAAAGTGGGTCGGGAATACCGTTATCAGGCAATGCCTTTAGATGGGTCTAAAGAGTTTCTGGTTGAGAGCGCAGAGTTGCGGATGCTTGCCGTGTCTGTATGGCAAGAACATACATTCGGACGATTGCCTGCCATGGCACATGCAAGCACGGAGGCCATGGCCAGGGAGATTCACGCGCCGCGCATCTTCCTCCAAATGGTGAGGCAGACTCGAGTGTAGGTTGCCACATCGGTGATCTTCAGCGAGACTTTGCTGGTCCAAGCCGAGCGAAGCTGGACATGCATTGCGCCATACACTATCATGATGTAAGGCCATTGATGCCAGCAACGTAACTGACTGTCCATGGCCTAGGTTATAGTACCCAAGACGCGCAGGCGTTTTAGCAAGGATGCTTCAGGTTCTGTACTATACTCGCCTGGCTTGTAGAGTCCTGAGTTGGCATGCTCAGATCGTAGTCGTAGAAGTTTCATGCAGCCGCCTTCACTTCTGTGGCTCTCATGCCGAGACAGACCACTTATTTCAATGTTGAGGGCTGTGCGCCCTTCTCGAGCAGGTTTCCAGATCGATTCATCATCGGACTGAGCAAGGCTCTACCGCATCTCAGTCTGAGCGTGCGCGCGCGCGCGCGTGTGTGTGTGTGTGTGTGCGCGTGCGTGTGCGTGCCCTGTTCCAGAGGAGAACGGGAACAAGCTTGGATTCCGCTTCGAGCGGCCTCAGGGCACGTTTGCAGAAGAAGTTCGCATCACAGAGGCTCTGTTGTGGGCTTCTTCAGTATCCTTTCTGCTGTGAAGCTGCGCAGCTAGTGTGTCCGAGTGTGACGGCATAAGCCGGAGATGTTGAGAGCCTTCACCCGCTCGAGAGTGGCTGCATCTGCACCAAGGGGACACAAGCCGATAAAACTCGATGTTATTATAAGAAGCCACACAGCATGGTCCACCACGCTCTGAGATTTTTTTGTGAGTCGCACGTTGCCGACAACTCATCCGTGTCGCCTGTCGAACCAAACCCGAGGCCGCTAAGTTGCGGAAGCCAAGTCAAAACGAGAAGCAGCCAGTGCATAAACGCACGCAGCCTCTTCATTCGAACGCCTTGGTCCGGTTGAATTCGAGTGTCGTGGCTTGGCTTGCCTTGGCGTCGCACTTTGCGTTTGAGGAGAGGCGGGACCTGCAGGTTCCCAACCCAATCACCACGAACCGTCACTTTTGGAGTTTATAGCCTAGCAGTGCATCAGATCACTTCGTTGCTGCACAGCAGCGGGCAACAAGAAAGTCTCCGCTTTTTTTCAGGCCAATGCCCTCGCCCTGGCCAGGGTTTTGGCAGCAGCCGTTTAAAGTTCATCCTACAGGTTCCAGCAGGATTCCAGCACACCATTCGAAGTTGAGGGTGAAAGCTAGAGCTTTACAAAGTCTCACGGCACTCTGTGCGTCGAGAACATGGGAGCAAGGCCTCCCCGAGGTTCGAAACCCCAAGAGCTCAGTACCAAAACATTGAAGGAAGGCTGGGATGATAGTTAGACTCACGACGCTAAAGCTGCAAGGTGCTCGATGACGGCGCACTCATGGCATACAACAAGCATCAGGCCATTGTCTGATAGCACATGCGCGGCCCCTTTGGCTATGTACCCTCAGTAGGGATCTTCTGGTGGTATTTCCTGTCGTCACTTCTGGACTTGGGCCCGGCCTTGCCAGGTGCACAAGGCATGTAGGACTACAGGATACGGAATGCAGCAGGTAGGATGTCACATTCGTCCATTCAATACATGGCAGCTGATGACACGGACAATTTGGGCCTTCTGAGTCTTCTCATTTGGTCCTTCGTTTCAGACAGTGTCTCGCGCAGGTTGAATTGGGAAGATATGCGTTCGTCGTTCTGCCTGAGGTTGGCCGTCTGCTTATTGATCTCATGTGGGAACAGCTACACAAATGACGCGCATGTTCGTGCGTCGCAGCCCTTGCTGCCTACACTTGCTCCAACTCGGAGGGTGTTGATGTGTCGACAGGGCTGCGGCATGGGAAATGGGGGGTGATGCATCCCTTTGCCCTGCCTCACAATCACTGGACGCCTCACCGTGACGTCAATGTTTTGGGGTGGCAGGTGTCGATTTTGGGACGTCAGGGCCTGGTCTTTGATTTGCCCATATTTGCCCCACTCATGCTTTGAAGTGCGAGGTTCATGTGCTCAATCAACATCAGGGGTTTGCCTGTCGGGGTAAGCCCAACAACACCTAGCAAAGTCAGCACTGTGGCAACACCATGGTGTTCTTATGCAGAGCAAAGGACCTGTGCGGTGTGTGGCTCCCGCTGTGGTCCGGTTTGTACTGCTTGTTCGCAGCTTATTCAATATTTGCAGAGCATCCGGGCAGTGGAGGAAGCATACCGCTGTGGTTTTGAATCGCGCCAGTACTTGGCGGCTTGCAGTTTGGCCGTGGTCCTGAATCTGCGGGTCTCCTCGTGTTGTCTTGGTCGTCGTGGTGCTTTTGTACTGTTTTGGGATCTTTGGCATCACAATTTTGTTTGGGTTGGCCGATGCCCTGATGGCCTTGCACCCTTTATTAGACATGCGACTCGTTCAGCAGCTGTCACAGTGGAATTCATTGTCGTACTTTTGCTGCTAATTCCTTCATCTGGCCGGCAGTTGCTGTAGTCGACATGACTGGCCATCTCAACTGACATGTCAGATGCGGATAGACCGTGTCAACGATGTCTGGGGCGACGCTGAGCTCATTGCAAACGAGCTCAAGTCGCATTGGGCTTAGATTGTGAGCGAACGAATTAGCTCTCAGCCGAGTGTTGCCGTTGGACATCGTGTTAGGCAGAGACAGGAACCAGATGGCCGAGTAGACACCGGACAAGCTTACACCCCTGCAGGGAGAAAGAGAGGTTGAGCGAGCGAGAGAGGAAGAGAGAGAGAGAGAGGCCCCGCAGAGTACAGCAATCAGTGAGACCCCAAAGCCACCCACTCATTAACAATTGAGTGGATGGGCGGGCCCACGGCCTGAGGGTAGGGAACGTCGACCCCTAAGCCCTGCAGAAAGAAAAAAAAGGCCCCGCAGAAGGAAGCAAGAGAGATGCGGCTTGCATGTCAGGAATTGCTCGAGGCTCCCAGCCTCTGCCCTGAAAAAGCACAGTGCAGTCCCAGGGAGCTGAAGTCTTCGCCGGCCGTGGGTCCCGAGAGAGGGACCTCAAGCCCCGAACAAGAGAGACCATGCAGTCAGCCGGACCGCTCACTCCGCACCTCATGCAGATCTTCAATTCAGTGAACTGGTTTAATGCTCGCTTCTGAACGGGATAAGTGGCATCGAGCTTGAAGGTTTAGTTACTTCGTTTTTATTGCCGAAAGTCCAAACCGATCATTGCCTTGCTTTGCAGCGTGAAGTTGGTTCCTGCCTCCTGACATCAGCTGAACTCCAACAGTGGTTCGTGGCACAGCTTCCAAGCCTGCGCACAAGTCTGCTGCAGCTGATTGGTAGGGAGGCACTAGGGCGCCGCACACTGTCCACTTGTTGATGCCTTAAATCAAATCCGAGAGTGAATTGCATGAAACTGATTGTAAATTAAGCTTCTCCTGTCTTAGTGCGACCATCGTGGACCTCCACATCCGTCGAGCAGATGACTTTCCATCAACACCGACTCCTTGATCATCAAGGCACAGCGGAAGCGTCACACGATTTCCTTACACGCATCGGTGTTCGGACTGCTCCGCCGACATGATCGGCTGCATTTTCATTCGACGCACAGGCAGACGCAGACATCTCGATCTTTGAGAAGGGACATATCTGAAGCTACTGTGCTACCTTTGAGGGTCGGGCTGGCATCTCCGGAATACTACTGCTTGGTCCTGACCAGAATGAGCTTGTCCAGCAAGATCGTTTCACGGAGCATCCGCGCTTTCGGTTCCATGAGTGCCCACCAAGTGGTGCCTCACAGTTGAGTGTACGACCTTGATATGAAAAGACCGCCTGTTGCGACTTCACTGCAACGAGTCTACTGACATACCTGACTCACTTCCAAATGCTGAAAGAAGCGAAGCTGTAATCGAGCCATACATCCAGGTTGCTCCGCAAATCCTGCAGGTCCACCAAATTCTTTCCTTCGTGTATCTCCGGCAGGAATACCTGGACTCGTGGCCGAAGTATCCTGAATCTCCCTCATTGAGTGTTTCGAAGGTCAGCCGACAAGTGAACATTGCGGAGAACAGACAGCTTCGATGCCTGGCGAGTCAGGGTTAATCAGCACTTGTCTCCTATGGTGGCGCTCGCTGCAGAGGCACGACAAAGTAAGATCACCGGCCAAGTGAGTAAAGAATGCTCGCACGGCGACTTCAGGAATGTATTGATCATGGTCTCCAAGGCAATCCCCCACATAATGTCGGTACTCCTACACCGGAACGTAAACAGGACTATTATGTGCCTGCGGAACAGATGACGGACGCCGGAAGGCGAACGCGCTTTGTCTCCCTTCACTCGGGCGTCTCACCGGGTTCTTAGAATCCTTGTCTATTTCTCTTTTGTGGTGGGTGCCCTTCGCCAGATTCTTGGACTCCTTGTCTCCCCTTGTACTTCAGCTCCGCCCTCTCCTAAGTCTTTCCGTGTAGTTGCACTTACCTACGACACGGCGACCGTGTAAGACATTGGCCACTTGACCGCTTCCAATGGTTTTTTTTGCGCTTTCGGCTCAAGTGCGGCACAGGCCGAAGTGACCGAACCGTTTTTGCAGATGAAGAAAGCCTGCCAGCTTCCCAATGCGGATGACCTTGCTGCTTTGGTATACATCCCTGCCCTGGGTGACGTCAAATAGCCACAACTCAGGCCTTTGCCTGTGCAGGAGACCATTTGGGGCAATTGTTGTTCTGTTGCTTGTAATGACGAGTTTGTTGGAGATTTTCGGAGGCAGTGGCGTGCTCTTGCAAGGTGATTCGGAGATGAATGCAGTCAACTTCTTGCAGACGGGTGTGGCAACATTTGCGTGTCCTGGCAACATCCCTTCATCCTCGCGCGTACGCGGCGTCTTGCCTGGGCATTTGTCCGCCCGCACGACGACAAGTTGCCTCGCACATGCACACACAAGCTTCCTGGCACTCTCCCCACTCGCCTCTTACTCGTATTCAGACGCCCCAGGCACCCCAGATGCTTCTTGCCCCCACTCTATCTATATCTATATCAATATCTATATCTATATTATATATATATATATGTATATATATATATATATATACATACATATATTAGTATATTCAATGAGTTGTGAGGCCCACTTCGCGGAGGACGCACCTGATTCGTTTATGTTTAACCATTGTCGCGG